AAAAAGGGGGAAGAAAGAAAATAAATGAAACAGCAAAAAGAGAAGGAAAAAAAGACAAAAAAAGGGGGAAGAAAGAAAATAAATGAAAAAGCAAAAAGAGAAGGAAAAAAGGCAAAAAAAAGGTGGAAGAAAGAAAATAAATGAAAAAGCAAAAGCAAAGGAAAAAAAGAAAAGAAAAAAAAAAGGGAGAAAAAAAAACCCAAATAAAACAAGAAGAAACAAGAAAAAAAAAGGAAACACAAAAAAAAAAGAACAATGAAAAAGAAAAAAAAACAGAAGAAAAAAAGAAAAGAAAAGAAAAAAAGGCGGGAAAAAAAAGAAAAAAAAAAGAAAAGGGAAAAAAAAATGAAAAAGAAGAGAAAAACACACACAGCAGCAACAATGGAGTCCTTCTGTTGGGGGGAGGGGCCGGTCTCTGATTTCCAATCAGGCGCCCGGCGGGCCGCCCGGTTGCCCCGGGAGACGGGCGGGGTCCTTCGTGGCCGGGCGCCGCCTTCTCGAGTCACCCCAGGGTCGGCCCAATCAGCGGCCGCTCGGTGGCGCGCGGCGCGGCCGCGCCTGCGCAGTCGTGCTCTCCTCCGCCCTCGCGCATGCGCGGTGCCTCGGAGTAGGCGTGGCCGCGCCTGCGCGGTGGCGCCTTCCATGTCCCCGTCCGCTCCGCTCAGGCCTCCTGTCATGGCGTCGCCCGCCGCCCGCCTTCTCCTCCTGGCCGCGCTCGCGGCGCGGGGCCTGGCGTCCCCCGAGGCGGCGCCGGCGCTGGTGAACGCCTGACCTGAGGTGACGTGTCCCCAACCCCACGCGGGGAGAGAAAAAGGGGCGGGGACAGTGTCAGCTTCCGGCCTCTACCCGGGCCTCCCCGGCGGGCCTCCGGTCCGCGCGAACGGCTTTATCTCGTCCAAAGCCGGCGGGGACCGCGACAGAAGGGCTCGGGGCGGCGGGAGGGAGGACAACGGGGACTCACCTGCACGCCCAGGTGCGCCAGGCGGGCCTCGAGCTCGGGCTCCAGCGCCAGCAGGAAGGACGAGGCCCGGGAGGCCGCGCCGCCGTGCCCGGCGTGCGCCAGCACCACCTCGGCCGTCACCTTCGCCAGGTGGCTGCTCAGGTCCACCGTGCGCCCGCCCACCCCTCGGTTTCACGCAGCCA